TTGTTGACGTGGGCGCATGTGAGCGCTGCAAGTCATTGTCCCTGTGTCGAGTTGAAGGCATGCTTGGGCCTTTGTCCTTTGCACTTGTTGTTGCAGCGTCTTCTGCTCGAGCAGCCGATTGCGATCGCACATATGTTGGCTGTCCAGAGGAGCTGATACTTGCGCAGGCATGCTGCGGATGCAGTGCTGGAGCAGTTGTTCTGGTGCTCAGGGCTGGCAAGCTCTTCTTAATGGTACGTGTGTCGCACCGCTCTCGTACAGCGGACGCTGTAATAAACGCTTCGCAGGTGTGGTTATAATTGCGGTTGTTAAATGTGGATGCCTTAGAAAGTGAAGTGGAATGGGCCGAGGACTTGCGGACTTGGAAGAGCAACGAAAGAAGGACTGGCACCCTGTGATGGTTCTGTTCGTTTTGGTGATTATGATAATTTCGGACGGTGCAGGCTGTAGCAGCAGATTGCAACTTCAAATGCCAGCCCCATTTTCGATCATGGGACGACTGTCAGAGTCTATCGTGCGCTGTGAATTCTTCTGTCCCAGGGCCATGCAAGCTCGCGTGTGCACAGGCGATGTCTCCTGCCTTGTGTTATGCGTATTGTAGCGTGTAGCTCACTTGGATGACATCGTTGCAGGATTTTGAACAGACGTGTCCCGTGTACTGGACTCATGTCGGCGAAGGCGCAGCAGCTGCGACTTAGTTTTCGTTTCTTGCCTTTTTTCGAGTGCGGTCTGATCTTTCAGTGCTTTTGGGTATCGTCGTTGTGGCTGTGGCGTTCAGCTGAGTTGCAGGCATCTGCTCGGCTCCTGATTGGTATCAAGGGCTCTGCCCAACATCGTTATTTGCAGGCAAGCTGATATTGGGGAGCAATCTGTCGTATGTTTCCGATTGGATCCGTTCCGTATCGCTGAGGCAACGATCCAGCCAGTCGCCAGGCTCTGTGATTCAGTGGTACTGCCGGTCACTGCCGGTGTTGTTTGGTTGGGCTCAGCATTACCGCGACTTACGTCCCTACTCAGCCTACTCTTGCATCATTGCGTCGCAGATTG